CCGATTCTTCAAAAGAGTCTATCCATCCATTTATGTATGTTAGTGTATTTCTAGGCAGCTAAAAAATAAATGTAAGCTCAGAGTAGAAGTACAATAGAGTGGAAAGAGAATGGTACCCAGAGTTAGAGAAAGGGGGCTACACCCAGTTCCATCTTTTGGCACTGTCAGCTTGAAGTGAAGTGTGTGTAGTCTGGGCAGTTGCAGACCTCTACTGCTGGACAAGAGAAAGAAGGTTTGAAGCTGGTTATTACAATAACTGGGGTTGGAGGAGATGTTGGCCTTTGGTTTCTGAGAACCATGGTTACTAAACATTCTTTTTTTTTTTTTTTTTTTTTTTTGAGACAGAGTCGTTCTCTTGTCGTCCAGGCTGGAGTGCAATGGCGTCATCTTGGCTCACTGCAACCTCTACCTCCCGGGTTCAAGCGATTTTCCTGCTGTAGTCTCCTGAAGTAGCTGGGATTACAGGCACCCACCACCATGCTCAGCTAATTTTTTTGTATTTTTAGTTGAGACGGGATTTCACCATGTTGGCCAGGCTGGCCTTGAACTCCTGACCTCAGGTGATCCACCTGCCTTGGCCTCCCAAACTGTTGCAATTACAGGCGTTAGCCTCTGCGCCCAGCTGGTTACTAAACATTCTAACATGCATGGGACAATCGTGCATCGCAAAGAACTGTCCCACTTAAAATGCCAATACTGCCCTGATGAAGAAACATCAATAGATGATTTTTAACGTTCCTTCAACCTATTTGGCCTTCAAAACTTAAGTGAAATGTAGGGAACTTAAGAGACTCAGGAAAGAACTGTGAGGATAATTAAAATGTTGGATTATTCAAATTTATAGGAAAAGTTTTAAAAATGAGCTTATCTCTCCCAAAGAGAAAAAGGATGATTTAAGAATTGAGACTATGTTGATGATACAGGGGAAGTCTGACCAATAAATTTTCTTTTTCCATGGAAACATAAATAAATCAACATGCTATGGGGTCAGAAATTACATTGGCTTTCTTGAGAAAGACTTGAAATCACAGATGCAAGAGGGGACATTACAACTGATACCACAGAAATAAAAAGGATTATGAGAGACTACAAGGAACAATGATATGCCAACCAATTAGATAACCTAGATGAAACGGATACATTTTCAGAAACATACAACCTACAAGACTAAATAAAGAAAAAACAGAAAGCCTTAACAGACCCATAGCTAGCAAGGAGACTGAGTTAGTAGTTAGAAATCTTCCAACAAAGAAAAGTCCTCTATCAGATAGCTTCACCAGATAATTCTACCAAACATTTAAAGAAGAATTAATGCTAATCCTTCTCAAATTCTTCTAAAAAACTGAAAAGGATGGAACATTTCCTAACTCATTTTATGAGGCCAGCATAAGCCTGATACCAAAGTCAACTATGCCACAAGAAAACTACAGGCCAGTATCCCTGATGAATGTAAGTGCAAAAATTCTCAACAAAATACTAGTAATTTTTTTGCTGGCAACAAATACTAGCAAACCAAATTCAACAGCAGTATGCAGTACTCTCTCTATACTATATATATTATACGTATATTATATATAATATAATATTTTATATTTTAATAATATAATTTTTTAATTTTTATATTTTTATAATTATTTTATATTTTTATTTATATAATTATTTATTAATAATTATATAATTATTTATATAATTATTTTATAATTTATAATATATTTTAATATTTTATATAATTCTTAATATATTATATATCATACATAATATATCATATATTATATATCATACATAATATATATTATATTATATATTATATGATATAGTATACATATTATATATTATACATATACATTACATAATATATTATAATAGATATATTATGTATAATATATACATAATATATAATACATCATACATATATTATATATTATACATATATCATATATAATATACATATATTATATATAATATATAACTTATATAATATATAATGTATATGCATATATAATGTATGTAATATATAATATATAATGTATATGTATAATATATAGAATTGATATGTATTATATTTAATTAATACATATTATATATAATTTATATAATTAATATATATTATAAAATAATATATAAATACATGTTATATATAAATATATATTATATAACATATTATATATAAAAATTAATATATATTATATATAGGTTTTCAGTCATGCAAGATGAAAACATTGTAATATATAAGGTTACAGTAGTGAGAATGGCATGGTACTGACATAAAGGCAGATACATGGACCAATGGAACAGGATAGAGAGTCCAGAAATCCGCCCATATATAGAGGGTCAAATTATATTCAACAAGGGTTCCAAGACTCCACAAAAGTGTAAGAACTTATTCTTCAATAAATTGTGTTGGGAAAACTGTATATCCACACGCCACAGAAAAAAACTGGATCCTTATTTTATACCATACAACAAAATCAACCCAAAATGAATTAAAGAATTAAATATAAGATTTGAAACTACACAACTACTAGAAGAAAACCCAGGGAAAAAGCTCCATAATATTTGGTCTTGGCTGTGATTTCTTAGACATCACAAGAAAAGAACAGGTAACAAAACAAACATAGACAAGTAGAATTATATGAAATTAAAGGCTTCTATGCAGCAAAGGAAGCAATCAGTAGAGTGAAAAGGCAACTAACAGAATGGGAAAAAATTTGCAAACCATATATCTGATAAGGGGTTAATATATTAAATATATAACAAACTCCTACAACTCAACTGCAAAATATCCAAATAATATAATTTTAAAAAGGGCAAAGGACTTGAATAGACATTTCTCCCAAGAAGATATACAAATGGTCAACAGATACATGAAATGATACTCAAAATCACTAATTATCAGGGAAATGCAAATCAAAACCAAAATGAAATGTCACCTCTTAAGATGGTTATTACTTAAAAAAATAGACAAGTGTTAGTAAAGTCGTGGAGAAACTGGAACTGGAGAAACTGGAACCCTTGTACACAGAGGGTAAGAATGCAAAATGGTACTTCTGCTATGCAGTATGAAGATTCCTCCACAAATTAAAAATAGAACCACCATATGATCTAGCAATTTCACCTCTGGGTACATATCAAAAAAACTGAAAACAGGATCTTGTAGAGATATTTGCACACTCATGTTCACTGTAGCATTATTTGCAATAGCTAAGATGTGGAAACAACGTAAATGCCCACTGACAAATGAATGAGTAAACACGGTCTATACGTAGAACAGAAGATTATTAAGCCTAACAAGGAAAATCCTGTCATATGTGACAACATGGACAAACTAAGGTCATTATGCTAAGTGAAACAAGCCGGTCACCGAAGGAAAAATACTGCATGATTTCATTCATATGAAGTACCTAAAGTAGTCAAACTCATAGAATAAGGTAAAATTATAGTTGCCAGAGCTGAAGGGAGGAGAAACAGGGAGTTGTTTTACAACAGGTACAGCATTTTAGTCATGCAAGTTGAAAAAATTGTAAGGATTTGCTGCACAACATGGAGAGCGTTAGCAACACTAAAGTATGCACTTAAAAACTGGTTAAAGGGTAGGTTTCATGTTGTGTGTGTGTGTGTGTGTGTGTGTGTTTTAATCACAATAAATTAAAAAAAAAAAAACTAACAGAAAAAGGAAATTGGATTCCTGGGTATGAAGGTTTGAAAACAAATGGATTTTTATTGGTTTCAGACAGTTCACGCAGAATCTTGCTTGTAGACTAGGTAGGAGCATTTAGGTAACTTCTCACGTCGTGCCCAGCACTTCTGTTTCTATGGATACAGTTATTAGGTTCCAACACACTGTGATATCCTACTGAATTGCCAGGCTAGAAAGCTGAGGATGGAGGCACAACTTCCCATCTACCCCATACCCTAGTAAATACCCCCTGCCTCACTGTTCAATGGGGGTTAATCATGAGGCCCAACAACGAAGGGTACAGTGGGAAAACTGGAGTCTAGCCCAGCACTACAGTAAAATCTACTTTGATTCTTAGTAGAAATAAAAGAAAGAAAAAAAGTAGAACCACAGTAAAGGGCTACTAAGGGAGAAAGCATTTGTCACCGTGGACAGAATAAAAGTACCACCAAATGAAATAAATGCCTATGGGAAAAGATGTGTCATGCTAGAAAGTACTGTGCTCCTTCTCCTTTGCTCTTCATTTAGTTTTTATCCATGCAATGTACCAAGCCTTATCCTATATCCTGTTTCTTTTCCCAGCTTTGAAAGATGCATGGACTGAATTTAGCCCTTGGTTAGGTCTTTGTCAGAAAGTGCCTTCAAAATAAAAGTGTTTTACTTGGTACTATCTCAACAGCAAACATGTATTTCCAAAATGAAATGCTTGCTCTGCTAGCAAGCTTTTTCCTTGAGTAAGCAACAATACTGTTAGTAATTTTTCAAACTGTTAATACACATACACACACACATACAAAATGCCAAGCAAGTCCTGTTCTATCATTTATAAATCATACGGTGAATATCCTCTGGTAGAACTAAATGAAAACATTCAGGGCACTGAGTTTTATAATTTGAAAAATGATAATACTAGTTGATATTGACAAATTCAGTTTTGATTTTCAATGTTTCAAAATATAATTTATCCACAAGGTCTTAAACAATTGAAAGTACTTAACTAAATCTGATATATGTAGATGCTTGGCATAAATTTATTGAATCTATTCAGCTAGAATTTATAAACACAAAAATAAAATTTGTTTTAAGCCAACGTGGGGTGTATTTTATTTCTAATATCCTTGTTGCATTCCACAGAGTATACACAAATAAGTATGACAAGATATTTATTTTCATTTATATCTGACTTTCAATGAAATTAAGAAATGAAAATGTTTAAAATCTACTCCCAGAGTTCTAACTGAAATAGAGTATAAATATTTTCCATTAAAAAATATCCCTCAAAATTAATATCTTCAGTAAGAAAAATGAAAAAATTAACACAAACCTTAAAACTGCCAGCAGTTCAGAAGATAAATGTGTTCTTTGGGGACTTGATTGAAACCATGTATTCATAAAAGTCTTTTAAATGGATGCTCTTCACAAAGGAACTCCCATGGAAGACAGCGTGGTTCTGACATACCAGAGGCTTCTGGAAGCAAAGAAAAGCACACGGTTAGGAAATGTCTAAAGTACCATTACTGTCTGTAATGGTATTATTATCACTTGTATGTATTATCAGCATGATGTTATTAATGTCTATCAATTTTGTACCCTGAATCATCTTATTCATCAATGGTAGAGTGGGACAGTAACCTTTCAATATTGTATTTAGAAATTTCTAAAGGTCAGGAGTATTTATAACTAAGCAAACTTCTGCTTTTCCTCTTATCTAGGCTGGGATTGAATAACTGTGGGCAGGGTATGAGCACAAGAGCGGTGACGGTATTTACTGAGTGCCTACCAGATATAAGGCAGTGTGCAAGTGGCTTTTAAATCTGGGATCTTTAATATAAAAACACTGTGATTGAAAAGTATTGGCTCCATTTTACAGATGAGAAAACTCAATGCACAGATTGCTGACCTCAGGCTTAGAACTTGTAACCATCAAAGTTCAAAGGCCTCAGGTCAGGTACTTTCCCTCATCTCACTCTGTAGCCTTGGTGATTTAGAAAAATATTTCCCAAACAGAACTGACAAGAGAACAGATAATGCTTCAACATACTAAATTAATTCAAATATTACTAATTAATTAAGAACTTGTCTTGCCTAATTTGCTTTAGTTTTATATTAAATATTGTCTTATTGAGTCAGGCCCACATAAATACAAATGCCCAGCTTTAAGCAGTATATGTTATTCTTCCAACTTTTCTTCCTTAGGCAAAGAGAGAGAACTTGCTGGAAACTGAGAAGCTCCTTTGTGTTTGATGTGGGATTATGTGCAGCATTACATCAAGGCTGGCACTGCAAACTTCTCATTTTCCTCTGGCCCCTCCATGTGACCCACAGTTCCTCCACTGTCCTGATGAATGAGAACACTTGGTTTTCCTGATTGCATCAGGAACTGAGCCCACATCCTCTGTGGCTATCACTGAGTGATATTACTGTATCTCGTTGTGGCTACATCCACCTTAATGGCTGAGGGTGACAAAGCAAGGGCTCTAGTTGGGTTTCCATTCTCGTTTTTAGTCAACTATCCCTGTTTGTTTCTGATGGTTCCAGTGCCAACACAGAGACCCCCCCAACTTACCCACCACCAGCTGTCCCAGTACCCACTCTCACACTGTGTTGCGGGGTTACTGCTCACCAAATAAATGCTTCAACACACCCCTTGAAATGATAGCTTTGGATGCCATAGACTTTGTCCTGAACCTTTTAGCTCACGGCCCCATCGCATGACCAAAAGTCCCTTAGATGAGACTAGAAAATGATGGAGCCAGGAAGGTCATGCATAACTTTTGAAATTTTTAGTTTATTGGATTTTTGGCCACAAAAGCTTCAGTCATGAATAAAGAAACAAGGGAAAATGATTGATGGTATTTTCAAGTTCTACAGAACCAGAGCCTAGGATTATTACGCAAGGAAAAAGGAAAAAGAACAAAGGAAAACAGAGCTAGTTTATCTTTGCATGAAAGAAGAAAGGTGAGCTTGAGAAAGAATGAGGAAAAAAGACTTGAACCAAGGGATCGAAACTAAGTGACATGAATGTGAAATGAACAGCAACTCTTCTTAAAACCTCATACACTAGCATTCTGTTTACTTCATACCACTCAAAAACAAATTATCAGGCCGGGCACAGTGGCCCACGCCTGTAATCCCAGCACTTTGGGAGGCCAAGGCAGGCAGATCACTTGAGTCCAGAAGTTCGAGACTGACCTGGCCAAGGTGGTGAAACCCTGTCTCTACAAAAAATACAAAAATTGGCCAGGCACGGTGGCTCATGCCTGTAATCCCAGCATTTTGGGAGACCGAGGTGGGTGGATCATGAGGTCAGGAGATGGAGACCATCCTGGCTAACACTGTGAAAGCCCATCTCTACTAAAAACACAAAAAATTAGCCAGGCGTGGTGGCAGGCGCCTGTAGTCCCAGCTGCTTGGGAGGCTGAGGCAGGAGAATGGCATGAACCTGGGAGGCAGAGCTTGCAGCGAGCTAAGATCACACCACTGCACTCCAGCCTGGGTGATAGAGCAAGACCCCATCTCAAAAACAAAAACAAAAACAAAAAACAAAAATTAGCCGGGTGTGGTGGTGCACACCTATTAATCCCAGCTATTCAGGAGGCTGAGGTATGAGAATCACTTGAACCCAGGAGATGGAGGTTGTAGTGAGCCAAGATTGCACCACTGCACTCGGACCTGGGTGAGTAAGTGAGACTCTGTTTCAAAAAAAAAAAAAAAAAAAAGTTAGGAAACAGTAGTAGTATTGTTGTATAGCAGATCATGGGTGTTATCGGTGATGGAAAATGTGTTCTGAAGCTCAGAGGAATTGGAGATCCTCTCTGTTGGGGATGAATGGAATCAAGAAGGCTTCAGTGACGAAGATAGCATTTAAGATCAACTATAAGTAAACACACAGACATGATTAGGCATTTATAGAAATTTTATTACAATTGAAAAGCCAGAATATTATATACTTTAGAAAAAAATAGGTTCATGAAATTAGACATTATTTTCCAGGATTTGGTATGAAAATAGACACCTAACCTGACAACACAGCCAGGTAATAGTACAAAGAAAATCAATGTACTGCTACCAAGAGAGGCACACGATCCCATGGGGTCCTGTTCTATTCAACTGTAATCCAAAATGACACCATGGCTTTTAATGGAGCTTGGCAAGCTCTAGACATGCCAATTTTAAACTTAGCCTCAAATTTAAATCATAGGGCTTGAGACTCAAATCTCCAATGTGATCTTTCCTGTGTATTGTTCAAGAAAACAGGTCTGTCACTGTGGACAGAAACCACATGCCCTTTTACTCTGGAAAGTATAATGAAAAGATGTACTGTACTTTTACAAGCACAGAGCCACAAAATGATGGTGGCTGTAATTCCCTAGAAGCAATAAAAGCAAAGACTGTTTGATTTGTAACATTCATTTAGAAATGTCTTATTGCATTAATGAACATTCTTATTTCCCCCATATTTGGGACTTTAATTCAAAAAAAGCTTGGCAGGAATCTCATCATTTATAAATTTAACATATAGTTCCTCTGAATACAGTCATTTTGCAAGGGTTCACTGAGCCACACTACTTCGTCCTTGCCAGACCCATACAATATTGTACTGAACAGAGGAGCTAAAAGCCCACAGTCGCTTGAATTCCCCTATACCCTCCCTATTTCCTAGCCGTGGAAGGTCTAATCAAGGAGAGTTCTAGGGTTGAAATGTGCTCAGGTTTGCCAATGTGATAGTATGACGAGGTACAGCCTTTAAGAGATGATTAGACCATGAGGACTCCTCCCTCATGAAGGTGATCAAGGCCCTTATAAAAGAGGCTTCACACAGCATTCAGGTAGCTGACCCGTCTGTCTTCCACCACGTGCAAACACAGCAATACTCCCCACTCCAGAGAAACCATCTTGGAAGTGGAGAGAAGCCGGCACCACAGACAACGGAATCTTCTGGTGCCTTAATCTTGAACTTTCTAGCCTCCAGGACTGTGAGAAAATAAAGGTGTATTCTTTATAAATTACCTAATCAATGGTATTTGTTATAGGAACAACAAACAAAGGCAGAAATTGGTACCAGAGGAATAGGATGATGCTGTAATAAATACCTAAAAATGTAGAAACAGCTTTGGAATCGGGTAATGGGTAGAAGCCGGAATGGTAATGGGTAAATGCTGGAAAAAGCCGTACTGTCACGAACAGAACATTAAGGGCAATTCCGGTGAGGGCTAAGCAGCAGCAGAAGACTAGGGAAAGCCTGACTTTCTTATGGATTACTTAAGTGGTTGTGAACAGAACGTTGGTATAACTATGAACAGTACAGATTATTCTGTTGAGATCTCAGATGGACATAAGGAACAGGGTACTGGAAGTTGGAGGAAGGGCCGTCCTTGTTATAAAATGGCAAAGAATTATGCTGAATTTATAATATATTTTATAATCCTGTCCTAGGACTCTGTGAAATGCACAACTTAAGAGCAATTAACTAGAATATTTGGTGGAGTAAATTCCGAATTTTCCATTATCTCAAATTGTGAGCATTTGGGAAATTTTCAGCTTGGACATGTGGAGAATAAAAAATAAGTGTATTTAGAAGAGAAAACCAAGGGCATGACCAAGTGACTGTTTGGTAAGGAGATTAATAGGGCTAGAAGAAAGCCAGGTGCTATTCATCAAGACAATGGACCAATGACCTTAAACACATTTTGAAGATCTTTGAGGCTGCCCCTCCCATCACGGGCCCAGAGTGCTAGGGCTTTGAGGGCAGAATGGTTTTGAGGAAGGGACCCAGGGTGCGTGGGAGATCTGGGGACTCACTGCCCAGGGCAAGCTCAAGTCTCTACTCCCCACATTCTGGTACAGCATTCCTCAGCCTCCCCAGCTGTGGCTTGAGTGGACCCAGCTGCAGCTGTAAACGTTGGCAGCCTCCATATGGTCGTAATTCTGAGGCTTACAGAGTGCAAGAGCCATGAGGCACAGCTACTTCCGCCTAGATGTCAAAGGATGTCTCAGGAAGCCTTGGGACCTAGGCAGGAACTTGCTTGCCACAAAGGTGGGGCCATGGCAGAGACCCTTCACTAGTGCAATGATTAGTGGAACTGTGGGGTCAGAGCCACTGCAGAGAGGCCTCAGTAGGGCAATTGTTAGTGCAGCCATGGGGGCAGGTTCACTCATAAAATCCCATTATTGTAGAGCCACAGCATGCATCTCCAGTCTGAGAGAGCTACAAGGGCTGAACTCCAACCGGCGAGAGCTTCTTCATGGGCTATGCTCAACAATGTTGTCATAGAAGGGTCTCCTGGAGCCTTGGAGACCCACCCCACCCCACTGTGTCTTGAAGGGAAGACACGAAGTAAAAGATTACTTTCAAGTCTTAAGATGTAATGTTTGCCTTGTTGGGTTTTAGACTTACTTGGGACCTGTTACCCCTTTCTTCTTTGCTATTTCTCCCTTTTGGAATGGAAATGTCTATCCTATGTCTGT